ATTGAATTGCAGAGGTATTCATGTGTGCACACAAGCCAAATAGTTACTTATTCTTAAAACAAAGAAACACAAAAAACAAACCAACCAACCAAAAACCCACAAAAAACCCCAAACACTCATGATTTGACTCATATTATAACCAGAAGTTCCTTCTGATGAGTTGTAGAGAGAAAGAATATGAAACACTAGCAATTCAATAGTAACATTCTGGTCAGGAAATTGCACCAGTACACAGTGACATCTTCTTTAACAGTGACTACAAGAACTTTATATTTATTTATTTTCGTTAAACTTGTTAAAACAAGAACTATCGCACGGGACAGGTGGGTGTGCGTAGAGGTGCCACCCCGGTGCGCACAGCTCACACCTCTGGCTGTGTGTGCCCCTCCTGCTCCTCCCTACATTTCCTACTGATGAACCACCAGCGCTTTGGTATAGCCGCATGGTCTCATTTTCAGGCTCATCCACCCCCGCTGCCAAATCGCTCCTGTTCCACATTGACAAGTATCCCATAATTTTGGAAGGAAAAGCCGAGTGCCAGGCGGTGGAGGCCGGACGAATGCCTCTACGAGCTCTGTAAGGCCGCTGTGGAGAGCCCGGCGGGGCCGGGGTCAAAGGCGGAGCTGCAGACTTTGGGAGATGTTAAAGTCGCGTAAGAGAAGCGCCGGGTCTTGGTGCCGCCGCTGGGTTAGGCACTGCCATCCCACCGGGCAGTGGCAGGGACACCGCTCCCGCCGCCCCGGCCCCGCTCCGGCTCCGTAGTGTCCCTTGTGCACGGGCACCATCTGGCGGGAGCGGCGGGCGCCGCCGCCAGCACTCCTCTCTCTCCGCGCCGAACGCCCGGGAGCCGGGGAGTCCCGAGAAGCTGGGGAGCAGCGGGGAGCCCCGGGGCCCGGCTCCTCCAGCAGCACCCCCGTCTCCTGCGGTGTCAGGTAACCTGCAGGCCAAAAGAACAGGAATGGCTCTAAAGGTGACGCAGCAGAGCTTCGCTGGATATGCCAGGGCTGAGGCAGGAGAAAAGGCTAATTTTGTGGGTTGTTTTGTTTTGTTGGGTTTTTTCCAGAGTAAAGTGTAATTCCGGAGGGATTTAGTCGCAAGATACAGGTTTGCAATAACAGACTAGTTATTCCATCGTCAGATTCGCACACGGGAAGCTCCGGGGGCCTCCTGGTCGCCCCAAGAACAAAATACAGGGCACAAGAAGAGAGAGCCGAGCAGGGGCCAGTTCCTGTGCTGTGAGCACGGGGGGTTCACAGCCTCCAAGTCTCAAATAGCTACTGAAATAACCACTTCAGGGGCATATTTAAATGCCTGTGTCATCATTCATGCTCATGAAAACATTCAGGGAAAGATTCTTATCAAAGACTGGCGCTAAAGTAAAGTATTTTGGGGCTGACCACCCAACCACTTTCATCATAGAGATGCTGAATTCCTGTTCCTCTAAGGAATTCATTTAAAAAACTGCTCAAACCTTTTGTGCCCGAATGTTCTTGTTTTTCTGCTGCAAAGAGACCATATTCCCTGTATCCAACAGACCACAGTTATGAAGCTATTTTATACTTTTATACTCATACTTTTCATCTTTTTTTTCTTCTACTAATTAGTGTTCCTCTTATGGAAAAAAAAAAAAAAGAAAACAATCTATGCCAAAAAAACCCCTAAACCAACAAACAACCAAAAAGGCAAAACAAACCACAAAAATTTACCGTGTGTCTTTGGCAAGTCAGAATCTGTGGTAATTTGCAGCTCTCTCCTTCAGAACCGCTGCTTCTGAATTTTAAAATTATTTATAAATTGGTATGCTATGGTAGAAGAATAAATTTCAGTAGCTATATAAGAATCTGTATTCATTCGATCTCATGTTGTGGACTTTGCTTTGTCAGACAGTATTTTATGATATGTTGTGTTTTGCATTCCTGGTTCTTTGTTGCTTAAACTGATGAGCAACAAATGACCTATTCTTTTTATCCTCCATCACTAAAAAGTTAGCAGTTTCCTACAACATCAAATGGAGCACAATAAAAAGAGTAAAATCTCCGAGTGAAAAATGCTTGGATCAAATCTTGAAAAATCATACCTACTCTTGTTTGTAATGTGTGAAATTATTACAAGTATGTTCACTATGAGGACCATTGATAGATGACTCACAATTTAGCTAAATTCAATGAACCACATACTGTGCCCATCTCAGTAGGTGACTCATGCATTTTGTATTTCAAGTATCAAATGTTTGCCAAAAACAGTATTTAAAAAAGTAGGAGAATTGTTCAAAAGGGTTTGTGAATAGGTTGGGACTACCCACAGGCATCTCTTACTTGTGTTCTGACCACTTACGTAGGATTTCACTGTAGTATTCTGGTAGAAGGAGTGCTTAGCCACGGCAGCCCCACCTTATGCACTTCATGTTTTTTTCTCACATATATTGTAGTTTCTTTAAATACACACACATTAGAATTTAATGTGATACTTTAAAGCAGTTGTGTTTTAAAGAGAAAAGCCTGCAGAGTAAACATTTTCCCTACAGAGTCACTGCTCCTTAATTTTATACACATTCCTTAATTTTCCTAGCACCATGCTTTGCCCTTCAAAATTTAAATGTAAAAAAAAGAAAATAAAACAGCAATCTCAAAAGAATAATTTAGCTGATCCTGAATACTGTATAGTAGTGTTTTAAATCAAATAACTCAGTGTAAAGCTGGCAGAATTGGCCTACAAGAAGGAATAAGCTTCAGTCCTCCTGGTGTTGACATCTTTTCACAATTTCAACAGCCTGGAGGGTGACAAAGGAGGCCACTACATACTGGTGACTCAATAGTTTAGTTTAGATTTTAGGCAGTTTTTCAAAGTCATTCATACAGACCTCAGAATGCATCTGGATCTTATTTTTAGCTTTGAGCAAAGGTTACCTGATCCCAGAATATCGTTCATTGCATCCACACAGCATCCACACATTGTAAATTCTTTTGTGAAGGCAGAGAATCATATGCCTTCACGACATGTGATGAGAGAGGACCATTTTTTTGACCAGGGCCTGTGAATCCTACCTCTTTATAGAGAGTGTGACTTACAGTGTCTATTTTCTGGGTGCCTTAGAACAGATCAAATAATGGGTGAAATATTTTTACATATTTGGTCACTCCTTTAATTGGTATCAAACAGTGCAATTTCATTACTGACCATCTCTGCATCTTCTCTGCCAGCATTCCTTTGGTACTTTCCCCGTTGAGCTGGCTCTTTTACCAAGTCCCTTCGGGTTCCCAGAAGAAGCCAATACAGTGTCATTCAAAAAGTAATGAACTTAAAGTTCACAGAATCATAGGATGCTTTGAGTTGGAAGGGCCCTTAACCAACAACCTTTGCCACAGGCAGGGGCACCTTCCACTTATGCAGGTTGCCCGGGGCCCCATCCAACCCAGCCTTAAACACTTCCACGGATGAGTCATCCCCATCTTCTCTGGGCAACCTGTTTTAGTCACCACCCTCACAGTAAAGAACTTTTCCTAACCTCTAATCTAAACCTACCCTCTTTCAGTTTAAAGCCATTACCCCCTAGTCCAATCACTGCATGCCTTTATAAAAAGGCTCTCTCCAGCTTTCTGGGAGAGGTACTGGGAAATTACCAAAACTGATCTCTTCATATTGACATGGGTGCAAGTAATGATTCTTGAAGGAAATACTAAATTTTAAGCAGACAAAATATTTATACTTTGCTGGTAATATAAACTTGTCCAATTGTTCTGCATTGGGAGTGAATGCTTACACAATATAGAAAAATCTCAAACAGCATTCAGATTGTATTTTTTAATACTCTAAGGCATTTCTGCACTTCAGAAATCATGTTAATTGTTAAATGATGACAGCTGTAACATTAACATTTTTAACAAGGGGCCAGATTATTGCCTTACTATCCATGCATCATGCTAGAAATGCTTTTTAACATCAGAGACTCAATATTTATCAAGAGAATTTGATTTAATAATAACCAGTATAACAGTACTCCACAGTTTCCATTAGTTTGATTGAATGTTATATCTGTCTAAGCAAACCAAGCATTAGGCGCTTCAGCGAAAGTCACTTGTCATAGAGAAAAATATAATGCATGAATATTTCATTAGTAGATGAATACCCATCAAAACTTTACTTGAAATGCTTGAAAGCACCTACTGAATGCTTGCCAGTTATTTCATAAAACAGAGATGGTAGTAGTGCTGCTGTTGAAACAGGAAAAAATCTATTAGATCATTTAACATACTAAAACAATTATGGTATAATTATAAGGAACATAATTATATGTTCTTGATGTCTTTAATGGTGCAAGCCTCACTAATTAACATTAGAAATTCAATCAAAACAAATTATGCTTTAAAATTAAGGATGAACTTAAAGAGAAAGATCACATTTCCCAAGTCAAATAAATGTAACTTTGAATTCCACCTGATAGTAGGCAAACTCTTCACATGCATGCTAGCAGTGTCTCTCTCTTTCCACCTCCTAAATTTTACTTAGTGTATTTGGAGACATATCTAGATAGATAGATAGATAGATAGATAGATAATGTATATATACACTCACATGACTTACCCTTATTTAAAGTTATAATGTCAGTTTTGCCTGAGACAAAATCCAAGCGATTTTGGTTTAAACTTTAAAAGAAGAGATTCATATGGTTCCTACTGTATTTGTGTGTTTTCTTCATTTCCCTGCATTGTGTATAAACTTAGGATAAGATTTATGTCTCCAACTCTACCCTTGGTTTGTATTTTACTGTTATTTTTCACCTCTCAGGACAATGGGACTGTTTGTAAAACATAAAACTACACAGTTTTGGGGCAAAACATTCCATTCGTTTATAAAGTTTAGATATGTCGTGCCATGAAGACAACAAAGATCTGCTCAGACATTTCCCTATACATACTACTCTTTTTGGAAACATCTGTTTTGCAGAACTGGAATTAGCTTAATTGCTTCAATCCTGTTGTCATTCTCAGTTTTCCCCTGAAAGGGATTTCTCTGAGGCTCAGGCTGGTTCCAGTCAAAATATACAAGTTCTTTGGTTTGGTTTTTTGCAAACAAACATTGTATTCCATATCAAATATGCATCTATGCATCGGTTCAGGTTAACGTTGTGCTTCACAGGAAGTACAGATCAGTTGCTTGTAGCCCCTACGTCCCTTCACGTAGGGGACTTCCAGCCATTGGGTTGCATTTCACAAGATGTCCAGAGAAGCCTAGGTCTGTAAGTAGCACAAGCAATAGAAGTGATAAGGGCAGGAGTGTTTGAAAACTTTGCAAATATATAGAATAATATTTAATCCAAAAGAAACAAACATAATTTTTTTTAGTATTAGAGTGTTAGATACAAAACCAAATCTCAAAATATCTGAATTTCTTATGGAGTGGAAATTCCCCATTTTTGGCCAACTCTTTTCCTAGTCTTCTATTTCTGCTCTGATAAGGTTTTATATTTGGTTTATAATCTCATAAATTCAACAGAATAGTTATAGGAAGTCACACTGTGGAGATTAAAAAGAAAAAGAGGTTCAGTTATTGACGTTACATTAAGCAGATGAATGTAAGAAACTTCACCAACAAAAGAAAAACAAAATTCTCCATAAAACTTGTAGCATTCAAATATTACTCAAAACCTTTACATTCTATTTTATTTCTACTGAGACTGGACCCTAGCAAAAATACTTCAAAAATACTGCCTGGTATTGGAAAACTTCAAAAGGGCACCATCATTCATAAGAAGAGAAAAATCCTGTGAGAACTCAGTTTCTTTCAAAAACAAAGTAGTGTGTAGAGAGTAAACACTAGGTGTACATCACTTTCTATATTTTTGCTTTCCACTTATTTTCTAAAATCAACCAAAACAAAACTGTCATCAAATTAAGATTTTGGCCGTTTCACTGTTCTTTTAAGCAGATACACACAATAAAAGGTCTGACCATGAATAATGCTGAATACTGAGAGCACCAGCCAGTTCCCTAAATGTAGAAGACCAGTTCTAGTTGAGAGACCTTCAGATAGCCCAGGCATCCCAGTGCAGGCAGTGCAGTGCTTGCTTGCACCTTTTGGCAGGACCAGGCCCTCAGCACCTCCTCCAGGACTACATAACTCTTTAGTCAACTGATCCTCACCATGCCTTTCCAGGTCTCCTAAGCTCTAGTCAAAGGTATCACTACTCTGATTAGCTTAGCTCCCTGTTCCTGGCTGGCTTAGCCAGCTCAGGAACCAGCCAGGTCCAGCTGACCAAATGTAAGACATAAAAAATATTAGAAGGGTTACCGTGATTATAGCTTATTTCTGGTTAATCTTCAAAAAAATCTTGGTATGAGGACTATGAGCTTCCAAATCTTTATTAATCATTAGAAAAATGTAGACCTAAGTATATTCCTAGAAACACTGGACTTTATCAGAGCATATCAACCACAGCAGTGATCAGTGCCAGTGAAAATGTGTAAATTTTTCACAGAATAATTGCATTGGAGTATTTGAATTCTAAGAAGAAAATTCAGACAACTCCAAGCATAATTTGATTAATCAACACCTCCTCAGTGAATAAAGAGTCTCTCATGCTATTAGAGGTTGAACGTATTCAAGAGCTATGCTGGAGAGTAACAGAAAAAATTGACTGAATAACACAAACTTGACAAGTCTCCCACATATAAGATTGCTTTTTATTTCAGTTTCTGTTCCATTCTGCTGTTGAACCAAAGATGATGGGATGCTTCAATCCCTTTAAATACAGCAGTGTAATGCTTTTGGTGTTATAGGATAAAATATCCCTGTCTGGTTTCATTGTCTGCCTTCAACAGACAATGTTTCCTGGTGCAGCTCAAGCTGGAGTATGGAGACACCCTGTACAGTTTTTCCATGACAATTTCCACACTACAATACACTTTCTTCTGTAGGCTGAAGTTTTCAAAAGAACTTTATTTGTATTTTATTTTCATATGGTCAGTTGTGCAATAAAGTAGGCTTCTGTTGTTTGGTTTAAATTGCAAGTGTATTAATGAAAAATGTTAAAAGAAGAAAATTTAGTGGTTTTTTTCCTTTAGTGAGTCTTATAATAACGTATTTTCCAATGCCCATCGTATTTTCTCCTTTGAAGAACCACCAAAATACCTCTGTGGCACTGGCAAGCATTTTGCTGGTATTTGGAATGGTAGCACACAATGACAAATAAATAAATAAATAAATAAATAGTAATAAAGAAAAAAGTTACATCCATTTCACTTTGAAACAAATGATTACAAAGCAGCTGATTACAACTGGAGAAAAGATGTAGAAAGGCAAAACGCTAGAAGTATCAATTGTAGTGAATTAACTGGGGTGTTCAGTCTCAAGAAATGGATTGACTCTCAGAAGGAGTTTTAGTGGTGTGAAAACTCACATTGCGTTTCTTCAGCACACAGAAGATCAATCTACCTGATTTTCCCCAAATTAGAAAAGCAATCAGGTATCTTAGCAATCTATTGTCTGCTAAGAGCGATAGGGATCCTTAGAAAGCAGAGGAACAGGAAGGAAAAACAAACCCAGAAAATCTTTATTGTACAGTAGTACGTGATGAAGAAATATGTTTATTTCTCATAAATTTTGTCCTAAAAATGAATTTTCCAAAACCCTTTTGGAAGAAAATATAGCCCTCATTGTTAATTTGCTTGCTTGTCAAAGAAAGGAAAAAGTGGTAGAAAAGCAATTTTGGGTGCTGCACAGGATTCAGACTGAGTTTCTCATAAAGTTTTTTTCCTAAACTTTATCTAGCTATTTCAATCGTTTTAAAGACGCTGTTAAACAGAAATTCCAACATGTGTACAGATAATTTCAATTTTTTTTTTCTCTTTTGCTCAAAATCTGTTGTGGCATTATTTAGAGTTGTGTACAATAACTTCTCTTAACATCTTCATCCTGTAGATCAGCAACTTAAGCATGTCTAATCTTGATCAGGTCCTGAGGTCTTTGACTGCACAACAAACTGTGGAAGGATTTCTGTGAGAATCTGTGGGAGATTTCCAAACCTGGTCTGAAAGAACCCAACTTTCCTTTTCAGACTTGAAGATATTAACTTTTTTTCCCAAAGTTACCTGAGGTGCATGTGCACTGCACATTTCTTTGATATTTTAAATCTGTAATTAAATGGATTGAGCAAACAGAATATGTCTTACCAGGCACTGAAGTGAGACTGACAAGCCCCTAGTTTCCAGGATCTTCTTTCTTGCCCTTCTTGAAAAAACAGGACAACATTAAACATTAAGCATTAAACAACTCTGCCTTGTCTCTGTTCCTGTTTGTGAGGTGACCATACTTATCCTGTAACAGGCTGATGATATTTCTGTACTGCCTATTACCATTAATGTATTTGAAAAAACTCTTTTTATTGTCCCCGGCATTTCTGACCAACTTCAACTCCAGCTGAGCTTTGGCCACATGAATTTTCTCCCTACAGCAGGAAGCAGCATGTCTGTATTCTTCCTATGTCACTTGACCTTGCTTCCACTGGGCATACACCTTCCTTTTTTGCCTTATTTCCAAGAGAAGATCCCTGCTCAGCCAAGTTGGCCTTCTGCCTCCCCTGCTTGACTTCTGACATTTGGGAATTGCCTTCTCCTGTGCCCCTGGGAGGTGGTGTTTGAAGAGTGACCAACGCTGATGGACCCCAGCACCTGCAAAATCATTTGCCCTAGAGATCTTACTTACTACTTCCTTGAGCAACCTGCAGTCTGCTCTCCTCATGTCCAGAACTGAGGTTTTGTTGGCACTTTTCCTCCTCTCAAGAGAGATTTTAAATTTGATCACTTTTTGGTCACTGTGACCAAGACAGCCACCAATCTCCCCTTCACCACAAGATCTACTCCGTTGACAAGCAGCAAATCAAGGAGAGCATCTTTCCAAGTTGGCTCCCTTAGGACATGTTCCATAAAGTTGTCATCCAGGTTTTTTAGGAATCTCCTGGTCCAGGTTGTACCAGCTATGTGATGCTCCCAGTTGATTCTGGCAAGCTGAAGTCCCCCATAAAGGCAAGGGCAGTTGACTTGGAAGTGTCCCTTGGTTCCTCTAAGAATAATTTGTTGGTATCATCATCCTGTCTGTGAGGTCTATAGCAGACTCTCACAATGACATCCACATTATTTGTTTGCCCCTTGGTTCTTACCCAGAGTCTCTCAACTGTGCCATTGCCAGCTGTGAGCTCCATAAGTTCTAACCCTTCTCTACATACAGTACTACCCCTCTGCCTCTTCTGCCCTGTTTATCTCTCCTGAAGAGCCTGTATCTGTCCAACAGGGCACTCCAGTCATAGGTCTCATCCCACCAGGTTTCACTTAATGCCTATGATGTCGAGTCTCAGGGATGGACCAAAGCTTTGAGCTCCTCTTGTTCCTCACGCTGTGTGCACTGATGTAGAAACATTTCAGGTGTGGTACATTGTAGTCAACACCTCATGAAGTAGATTGAGGGATACCACGAGGGCTGGTTTTCTCATGTTTTGGCACACCATCCAATTTTTTGTCACTGGCAAGCCTGGTTTTGTCCCCATCCCCTTTCCAAGCTAGTTTAAAGCTCTGCCAACCAGTCCCACCAGCTCCCCTGTGCTAGAACTCTTCTGCCCCTCTGACAAAGGTGTCAATAGATCAGGTGCTGAGTAGATCATCCCATGGTCAAAAAACCAAAAATTTTTCTAATTACTCCAACTTGGAGTCACTCATTGACCTGATGGATCTGGATTATTTCTTGGTACCAGAAGAATAGAGGAAGAACCTGTACTCCTGTTCCCTCTACCATTATTATTATTATTATTATTATTGTTATTGTTATTGTTATTGTTATTGTTATTGTTATTATTATTTTATGTTCCATTTCTGTCATATTAAACTGTCTTTGACTCAAACCATGAATTTTACTATTTTTTTCCCCAATTCTCTCCCTTATCCCACTGAGAGTAGCAGGAGTGAGTGAGCAAATGTGTGGTGTTCAGCTCCTTGCTGGGTTAAAATCACAACACTTGCTAACAAAAAATCTAGCACCCTGTTTGCCTCACTCTTTTTCACTCTTGTTTCTTGCATTCAGTCCTTCCATCCTCACTACACCTTTTGCAGTTTTCCTTTTGCCTTATGTGCAATCAGGCTAATCCCCTCTCTGAAACAGGGCTGTCTGTTCACAGAAACAGGGGCTGTACAAAAGCCTGGAGAAACCCCAGTGGGCCTCTTGACTCCACAGCTAGTTCAAAACCTCCAGTCTTACTTGAAGGGACTGTCAAAGGCTGCTGGATGGTGATGGATTTTTTTTTTTACGTGGCACAAGCAGTGTGTCTTTCGTATGCCCATCTGCTTCTATTCACCTTGTTGCTATACAGATGCTACTTTTTCTTTCCTTCTTTATTTTGATGGACGACAAGTTCACAAACATTTGGGAGAGGCTGGAAGGAAGTAATTGGATTAGTGGCATTCATCTGGTGCTGAGTCAGAGCAAATGCTGACTTTCTCAGTTCAGTGACTCCTGAAAGCTGACAGAAGTCAGCACAATGTATGAGTAAGCCATAAACTGTCCTATTCCTCCAAGTCTTTTGATATAAATTTAGTACATACTTACTCCAGGAATGTAAAACTGCTTCAGTGAGTGCTTTGTTCCTACACTCTTTCTACTTGGAAATTAAATCACACATGTTAAGCAAAACCCATCTTATATATAGATACTATTATAGGGACAGATATGGAAAAAAATCCCTGCAGGACTTTCTAAAAATTTAAAAGACATTCACTTTGTTGTTGCATATCCAGTATTACTATTCTTGCAAAGAACTTTGCTAATTATTTCCTTATAATGTATAGCCACAGTATGATGTTCAAAATAATGTGAATTTTAATGAGAAACTTGGTTATTTAAATTTGCAATTATCCATCTGGGAACCCAAATAAGTAATTAGTAATTTTTGTCAAAATAGTACAGACCTGTAATACCAAAAATCTCACCTGAAGGAATTTAAAATTAGAAATTATCTGTTCTGCAAATGCTTTAGAACAACCAATGTATTTGAAGATTGTTGGCAAACGGTATATGACCAAAAATAGAACAAAACCAAATATATTAAAAACTTGTATTGAATTCTTTAGCAAATTCAGATTTAGTTTGTCATGATACATATTTGAAGTGCAAGCTTGAATTTTCTTTTTAAAACTATTAAGCTTCATGCAACTAGAACTAATATTGGTCCAGTGTTTGGGGGCAATTTGGTATGGGGTTTTGAGTATCTTTGATCTTTCACATAGGTAAGACCTTTTTGAGATAAAGTTCTAAGAAAAACAATCTAATTTCATCAGTCAGGAAACATGAAGTTCATGAACAGCATTAAATTCAGCTGGTGCAGGATCTGTTAGATCTATATCCAACAGAGTTGACAAGTCTGATGCTTTAAGTGAACTTAAAGTTATCAGTCTTATTTATTCCTTATCATGACTGCAAACAAAGAAAAAAAACAAATGAAAGAGAAATAAAACTGAGCATATAGTACTTCAGCCATTGTGTCTGGCATTAGAGCTATTTTTAGACAAAAGGAGAATACATGATAGTTTGCTATTAGATAAAATTTTTTTCAGTTACTATACGAAAAGGTCTCGCCCTTTGTAGAAAGACAGGTAATGCTCTGAAATGCAGCATGTTTCAGTAGTTTTGCTTTTTTTTCCCTGTATGTATTTCACATCTCAAATCTTATTTGCATAAATGAAAACAGGCCAAGCCCTACAGTAGAAGCAGAAACTGACAGTCAGTGTCCACAATACGGTTCAAAACTGACCTCCTTCTAAGTAGCAACATCATTCCACAAAAGTTTCCAAGGAGTCAGGTCTCAAACTTGCATTTTCTATAGGGTGACCTTAAACTTTCTCAAATGCTACCTCACTAATTCCATTTGTCTCAACACAGATAAATATATATTTTTATTTATATTTCTGACTTTTCTCCTGGATATTTAAAACTCCTCACAACTCTGGAAGATCTCTCTTCTCGTTAAGATTCACTTGTACAGATCATCCTTGGCCCCAGAGAGAAACGAAATCCCAAAGAAATGCTTGAGCTTCCCTGCACCAAAGCCATTGCAGAGAGATGAGCACCAAGTTTTGTTCTCTGAGGTTCTGCAACCATAAATCTTTTCTCCTAGGATAAAATTCTGCTGATGGATGTCAAGGTCTATCTTCTAACACAATAAAACATAAGTATTTTCCTGACAGCAGAAGGTAAAAATTTGCCCTTCAGTAACAGCTTACAGTAATATTCCTGTTTTGTAGAGCATAACTCCACTGTGGGCCATTCAGGACATAGTTAGTTGTTTCTGGTAGCATTAGGCTCTTTTAATAGAAAAAAAACACCTCTCAGTTGCTAGTTAGTGTGAAAGATCTGAGCTAGGATGCTCTGGAAGGTTTATGCAAAGGCAAAGGAGAAGGATTGGCGTAAACCCTCTTTGAAGGTGGTTTACCCCGATCCATTTTACTGTGCATCACAACACACGTAATATTCAATTACCAATCCCCAACAAATGAAGCAGTAACCAGCAACATAATTGAGTGTGCTAACATGATTTTCAGAATATGTCCTGCAAATGTCAGTGTACTGGTTCAATGTGCTGATGGCAACATCCTGATAGAACAAATGAATAAACATAATTCTTATCTCAAGTTGGTAGTAAAGCAATTAAAATTCCATTACAGAGTCCACAGAACAAGTAGATTTAAAAATATTCTTATGATTATTAGAAATTTAACACAGAATAGGTATTGTTGATTCCAGAAGTCTTTTTTTTTTTCCCTTCAGAGAACAAACCTTGAGGTATTGGAGGCCACATTTCAGGTCTAAAACAGAGAGATAATGAGACTCATCTCTTTTGTACAGTGCTTTAAAATTTCCTGATGAAAAGTGCTATATAAGACCTCGATATTATTATGATTAATGCTCATAATCATCTTGTCAGTACTTTTTCCCCTTCTGACCTTGTAGTTCCCATGTAATAAAAGGCACTTACCTCACTGCTTGATCAAGCTCTTAAGACAGCTCAGGCAGCAGGTTTATGCCTCCTTTACAGGAGGCAGATTCAAGAATCTACCTAGGTGGCTTGATAAAAGAAATGGGATGCTCTGAGGAAAAAAAAAAAAAAATCATTGATTCTTATTTATCACAGAAAGTTTTTCTTCTCCTCAACTGTCAGGCTTTTTTCTCCTTGGATCACTGTCCCTTTATGTAGGACATCCGTGGAAAGCAATCTGAGTGAGTTATTTGAGAGGAGATGCATTGAGAATAGTGTTTTAGCAATGGGGAGACCTGTTGTTCAGCAGCACTCGTTCCACTGCAGCAATTTCAGGCTAGTGGGCAAAGACGGTAGATTTTGGATTTTGGCCGTTTGTTGGATTTTGGCCGTCAGGCATAAGCTGGTGAGATGCAACCTCATCAGATACAGGATTTGGAAAAGCATTGTGAACAGAAGTCAGAAATTAGGGAGCTGTGTAGGTTACACTTTGATGCTTTTCTGTCCATAATGGCAGTGGTGTTTCTTGCAGGCTGCAAAGCAGCAGCCTGGCAGGCAACGAGGGACTTCTACAGGAGCTGCATCCTTATGTGAGGTCTCGACTCTACTGCTCCATTCTAAAACTAAATGCAAACTAACTGAATAAAACCCTGTCTCAGCAGAGTCAATGACAAAACCTCCTCTAGTGCTAAATAGATATCTATCCTCTGGTTGTGCAAACAAGTATTCTAGAAAGCTTCATTCACAGGTATAACATCGTTGTCTAGGTTTTTTAAAAATCCACACATTTTGAAAAAATGCACACATTTCAAAAAATGTGCTGGAAAAAAATCAGGAATACAGAGCAAGGCAAATATTTTTAACAGATGTCTTTGAGAGCTTAACCACTGCATAATCTTTCCTCAAGACACAAAGTCCGATTACTAGTTCAGGGTTTATTGAGTGTAAATCCATGTATAATGAGCTTCACTCATATACTTTTCTGTAAAATTGAAAAAGGATTTTTTTTAAAGCTGAAGATGTTTGAATGTGAGATGAGTGGATATAAAGCTTCTACTTATTTACAGATATATCTATAATTGAGCTGTTCCTAAATGAGAACATTAAAATATTTTTTTGATAGAATCGTGACAAGTTTCTTTCCTTACTCAGTACTGTTTCAGGGTTGACACTGTGGTAGAACATTAAACTCAACTGCATTTTAGCAACTTTTAAAGCTTTTATTTTATATTAAAATTCATCTAATTTGGTGATGTTGGACAAACTGCTTCAATTTAAAGCTTATATAAGGAGATATGATTTCATGTATTCTACTGCCATATAAAAATATTAATATACCTCTACACCAGTCTTACAGGAATCTGTGAGAAATGGATATTCTGAAACAAAGAGACAAAATAAGGACTTCTCTATACTTGCAGATTAACTAAATATTATTTTATGAACTTGTTTTAAATCTGTTGCAATGTTTGTTTCTGTGTTTCTAGGTACCGTCTCTCCTTGCGAAACAGAACAGATCAGAATGCACTAAGAAAACACTTAATAACATTGTAAATAGAATGGTTGAGCAAGGCTATCAAGTTAAGCAACTTGATAAAAGCAAGTAAGGTTCATTTATTTTAACTTTCTGTTAGTTCATGTCTGTCTGTAAGTAGCACATATTTGCATTCTAGGTAATGTGACTGACTTGGGAATGCCAGTTCCCTCAGTTCAGGCAGGAATAAATTTATTGCATATTTGAAGGGAGCAGAAGTCAGTATTTCCAGGCTAGAATGTGGCACTGTTAGAGCAGGCTCCACACCCATGGAAATGATACACAGTAATGATGGTATATCCAAAACTCTGTGGCAAATCAGTAAAAATAAACACTTAGAAACATGGAATTAAAGGGGGAGAAGAAGTAGGGAATTCAGTAGGAAATTAAAAGTATTTTATCCGTGTTGTAGTTGGAATTTTCCCTCTGGACACCTAAAATTAATTTTCTAAGTTAGTGAAACTATATGATGGTTTTGGCATTAACACATGACCTACATTTTTCACAAAACAGTAGCCAACTAAAAGCATTTAAAATAAATACAAATACCTCTGGAAAACCTTACTGAAATAAAATAGATCAAATTCTATTTCAAAGAGGAAAACACCCTTGATTTAGTTGAGACTTAAAACAGGAGAGATTTGTTGGAATAACTGTATAAGTATCTACATTTCTTGTCACTAAAATTCAAGACAAATTTCCAGAACTACATACATTAAAAAGCTTAATGAATTCTAAAATAATTCTGGTTATACATATTTATAGCTGTTTTGACCAGCAGGTAAGATACTTAAAAGTACATAAACACAGTACCCACTGAATAGGGTTTTTTGTGTCTCAGATTTTCTCTTTTCATGACAATTTTCCATAGTCAAGGTTCTTACAATAATCAGAAAGTTTTAATATTGTAAAAGATTATCAGGAAATCCATTTCGATATTTTCCCCCTAAAATTGCCTGCATACGGGCTGGACTCAAACAGGTTATATATTAAACTGCAGGAGAAAATCGGTTGGTTTTGTCTTGCCTTGCAAATAAGGGAAGTGCATAGTTAGGGTCTCACATATCTGCCCAGTACTTATGCAGCCACCCCTAATGCAGTTTTAACAGGGCTAGCATGGGTATTACTGGAAGAGAGGTGGGAAAATGGGAGAAGTGAGTTTGATGGTACTAATTTTTGGTTTTAAGGAGAACTATCCAAACTAAAAGAGGAACAAAGAGCCCTCTAACTAGCAGTAGCTGCTTAACTATTATTCAGGAAAGAGGCAAGGAGTTTATAGAAAATAATAAATGAATAAATATATTCTCATTCTTCGAAATGCTTCCCTCACAGCTAATATTTAAACATATGTGTAGAACATTGCAGAGGAATTGTCAAAAGGGCCATTGGAAAATTTCAGCTTTCAACACATTTAAACCCAAAATTCAGATTAAAATTTTCTGCTTTTCTTGACAGTCACAGGAAGGTGATCAACCCTTTTCCATGCAAGATCAGTCATTCTCCACTCAAACTCAGATGTCTCTCCCAAATAACCTTGGCTCATATTATTTTTACGTTCTTTGTACGTTTTTCTCATTGCTTTGCTGAATTCGTTGTGTTTATTTTTACCTCACTCTGCCAGCTGCACACATACCACTAGCTGTGAGACAAAAACCTTCACAGCTGGAAACAGCCTAAAATAGGCACTGAGATGATGCCACAGATACATAGCCTCAATTAGCAGCGGGAGCAGCTGTTGCAGCAAGCAAAGACCTTCCTGTGTTTGGTTTGCTCCCTTGTCATTTAGCATCAGATGACACCACTCCTCATCAGGATGCAGTCATTGCACTCATGCCGCAAGACAGTTATTCCAGCATAGAGGGCTAGAATAAGTCTTTGGAGCCACTTATTTGCAGGGTAAGCTCTATTTTGAGGTTGTAAGTAGTGCACTGGGACTTTTTGCTGCCCCTAATACAGGTAAGCACTCCTTACGGGGAGCAAAGCACAGTGAAAGCTTAGTCACTGAGTAGCTGCCCTATTTTTAGATGGCCCAGATCTATGACAGTTCTCCCTCATCTCAGTGACACTATTCCAAGGACAGTGCATGCCACAGAGGCCTCAAAAGTCACTGATCATGCTACACAAATCCAAGGGAGTGTCATCTGCACATTCTCATCTTTCAAACTGTAGCAGAGATGGTAGCTCAAGCTCCTGCTACTTGTCCATGATTTCAGGGAGAGACAGAGGGACAGAAAGAGGGCAGGGGTGAGTAAGAGGATGAGACAGAAAGAGCAAGAAAGAGAAAGGAGAGTGCAAGGTAGAGGGTGAGAAAGAAGAGAGAGAAAAGATACATAAAGAGAAAGGAACTCATTAAACTCAGGTTGGAAATTATGGGCCAGATAATAAGCCTGTTTCAATAAACTAGTTTGTTAAAGCAAATGCAATTAGCCTCCCATTACTGCATGTATATGCAGGTTCATATCCTAACAATGTTGTTCCATCAGGAGTACAAGATACTGTTATGCATCAGTCAATAATAATCCTGCTGTGGATCATGAACAGAATTATTTGAAATACCTTAACTACCTAGGAAGACTTTCTAAATGACAAAATATATATAAGTACTGTGTATGAAGCATTTGGAGGGAACCATGACATGAAGTGCAATGAAACCAGCTTGTTTAAGATAAGTTGCAGCTTGGAAACACATAGACATTTCAGTGCCATACAGGAAGAATTGCTTTATAAGTGGGATTTTGGTGGACAGGTGAATGAGGGACATCACATTAATTTTCTCAAACTCTTCTTCTCCCAATTCTCAATATCGACAAAATTAAGATTAATAAATTAATACAAGATTACAGGAGGCCTTTCAGAAGTACAAACAGAGCATATAAAAATAAGGAAATATTCAGTAATATTTTTGTGTATACACTGAAATAGCATCATCCCAAAATACGTCTTTATCATTTAATTGTTGCATTTAATTCTAAACATAGTTAGCTGTACTGAATTCAACCTCAAATTATTTGAGGTTTAATCTTTTTAAATGATTATTTAGGGGAAACTAGTAATGAAGACTCAAGTCCCTCAGAGTTGAATCACCACAAAAATATGAAGGCACTTGATCTCAGATCACAATGGGACAGATCCTCTAGAGAACCAGTAATCTTCATGTTACTCTTACAAATAATAAGTGTTTTAGATGTTTCTTTTCCTTAGAAAGTGTTCCTTGGAGCTCCAGTAAATGCCCATGCCAGACTGGGAAAAGTACATTTTCCATTCCTAGGTGTTTTATTCCTCCTGTGTTTTAAAGCCCCAGCGAAAATGTTAATTACCTCACCATAACTGTTTCACAGATCATAATTCATGTAATTTCAAAAATGCTCAACAAGAAGACAAAATAAAGTCAAAAATGGCAGTATTTCTCCTCTTAACTTCCTAAAAGCAGTCCACAAAACTCAGCCATAATTTGAAACAGTTCTCAATGCTTAAACCTTCAAGATATCTGTAAAAAAGTGTCCTGGATACTCAGAGCTGTGTTAGTTTTTA